CAACTCCTTTCTGTCAACGATATTTCGCTAATGTACCAAAGTAAAAGACTGTCTTGATATTGAAAATGAGGCTTTGTCGTGTAAACAACATGGCGGATCTCGGAGTGCTCAGGCGGGATCGGAAATTAGTGAAGCCCGCATGAAATCAAATGCAAACGGTTTATGGAGCGAGTATATGCGTGTTGTTAACTATGCACAAAGTTGCACACCTTATAAAACGGCATTTTCTGAATTAGAGCTATGCAGCCTTACAGCAACCACGTTCAAGATTGGCACGAGTCCACGTCTCTTGATGAACGAGTGATTCGCACGCACGGGGGTTGCTGCTCCGTGGATGACTGCTGTCTCTGTGAAACATGGACTAAATACAGCTTATTTGGAATTAATTTTTTAGTGTGGGTAAGTTTTTTTGGTGGATGCTGTAAATAATGTGCTGTAAATTTGGTGATAATTCGAGTGCAAATCGTCGTTTGTTTTACCACGTATGCCACATCGTATTTGATGTACCACTGCCAGTTTCAGTACCATGTTCATTAAAAGTGCAGCTGTGCAAATTTTAAGATTTGCAGTTGGTGACTCATGTTACGTGTTTATTTTTGATATCGTGTGTACAGTTTCAGGTTACCGTACTTTACTCAGGTACAGTAAAAACAATCCAATGCGCAATTGATTTGACTTGTATATCCTAGAGTAAATTATTGTTTTAAGTTAAATGCTATCAGCTTGTATGTAAAAATTGGATCGTCTTGGATTTCATAAAGCTGCCTCTCATACTGTTGCATTGTTTGTAAAGACCGGATCATATATACAAACATATTTTATAAAACTGTATTGCATACTGTTACACAAAAGTTCAACAGACACGTCTCTTTATTCATAGAGCTTTATGCCCATTATACCTTTTATACCAGAAAAAGGTAAAAATAAAACATGTTGGACAGATTAAAAGAAATATTTGAATTTCAATTCATCAGGTTCCACAATTAAGCCCCCCCCCCCTTCCCACATATATCATATCATATTTGTTATACCAAGAGATATAAACACACGCTTGATTTTTATTTATGGAAAATGTTATTCAAATCTATAATGTAATAAATAAACTACATACCAAATCATGCTTAAATGGCCACATTTCAAAATCTTGCTTTCTTCATGTGACACCCCATTGAAATTACAGTCAAAGTATAATAAAATTATACTGTTATTTATCATAATTTTAAAAAAAATTGTTGATATGAGACATTCATCAGTTTTTAATAGATCTCTTTGACCCAATGAGGAAAATCTTTCTACTTAGTTCTTTAAACATCTCTTTAGTTTTTGCTTCATATCCATTGTGATTTTTCAACTTTGCAAGTAATAAATTATATCATTATGGTATTTTAAGGCAGATATATATATATAGCCTGTGTGCATATGTTTGCATGTGCAGTTGTTTTATCATTATTTCAGCTGGCTGGTGGAGCATTCATTGGTATAGGGAGCTGGGCAAGGATAGAGAAACAAGGGTTTGCCAGTCTGGATAGTGTGATAACAGATCCTGCTTTCCTTGTCCTTGCTGTGGGGTGTGCTATGTTTGTCATCAGCTTCTTTGGCTGCTTAGGTGCACTGAGGGAAAATATCTGTCTGCTACAGACAGTGAGTATATTGACTAAATTAGATTAGTCAGATTTTTTTGATATTTTAATTTTTTATTACCTCTGCAAAGGAGGTTATGTTTTCACTCCTGTCTGTCTGTCTGTCTGTTTGTTTGTCATCAACATAACTCAAAAAGTTATGGACCGATTCTGATGAAATTTTCAGGGTAGGTGGGAAATGGGTTAACTTAGAAGTGATTAGTTTTTGGTTGTGATCAGGATCAATAATCAATCAATATTCAATAATAATAATCAAAAATCGCTGCCTTGGCGGAGGTCTGCACTCTCGGAGTGCTTTTCTAGTTCAGGTTTGATTTTATTTCATTCAATTTTAGTTCATGTGTGTGCTTGCGTGTGGAGGGGAGGGGGGGGGGAAGGTATTGCCAATGCATGAGTGGTAGCAAAGTGTTATGTTGATTATTTTGTTTGGATTGGTACAGTGTAGATATAGCTATTTGTTAGGTTTGAATATATGTTAGTGGAGCAGAATAGGTTTCTGTGGGGGTAATAAGAATGAACTAAAAAACTGGACATACAATGTGTTAGAAAGTGACACTGCATATGAGGTATTATATTGTGGACTTGAAAGTATATTAATTAATAATAATATTTTGATGTACATTAATAGTGGCATTGTGCCATTAACCTTGAGCACTTTTAAGTTTTAAAATTCACATTTTCAGTAATAACTGCCATACACTGTGAAAATAATAATGAAAAAAATATTTCAGTTTTGTGCCATATTGGTGCTAGTATTCCTGGCTGAGTTGGCTTCTGGTGTTATAGCATTTGTCTTTCTGGACCACATCACAGCAGGCCTCACCAAGTACACCAGGCAGGCCATAGTTAACTATCAGGATGACCTCGACTTACAAAATGCTATAGACTACATACAGTCTGAGGTAGGGACTTCTTAAATGAAAGTGATTTTACCTGACAATAATATCACTTGACATTTCTTTTCCTTGTTACATACATTGGTTGTACATGATGAATGAAAAATGATTTTTAAAAAGGACATCAGGATATGTTGTCATAACTGTATTGCTGTGAAATTCTGTTAAGTATAAATTTTTTTTATGGAAAGCATCTATAACATGGTTTTTATTCTAACAATATTCTTTATTTCTTATGCAGTACAAGTGCTGTGGGGGCAGTGGCTACAATGACTGGGATGTCAACATATATTTCAATTGCTCCTCCGCTGCTGTGTCTCACTGTGGTGTTCCCATGTCCTGCTGCAAGCAGCAAACTCTGCCACAGTCACTTCTCAAAAATATACAGTGTGGCTATGGTTCAAGGAGCCTGGGGGTAAGTCACACACATGCTGCAAGGTCCAGGAAGTTTCTATTACTGTGACCTGAAAGAGCAGTTTCCTATGAAATCTTTGCATAATTGTTCATATTAGTTTAACATAAAAATCTTACTATTGTATGTAGGGCATTGGGATAGAATAATCAATGTTTTCATTATGCTTTTTTGTTTACTTTATTTACTTGTATTTTTTGTGCCTCACCCCTCTTGGGCCCTGTGAGAATGGTCTCCTATCCCAACCAATCTCACTTCAATATATTTTGACATCAGACACACTGCTACATTTTTTTTACATTTGGTAATTTTTTTACAGGTTCAGACAATCAGTTTTTTTTTTTTTTTGTGAAATATTTTGACTTTTATTGAAATTTATTTGGTTATCATGAATCTTAAGATTTCCTTGACATTACGATTCTTGATGCAATCAGTATCATCATTTTTTTTTTCAATTTTAGGAACAATCTGCTGATAATGTGATTCACACAAATGGTTGTATTGGTGCTCTTTTACAATTATTCAGGGATCAGTTATTTATTATAGGTTTGATTGCATTTTCTGTTGGATTTCTGGAGGTAAGGTTAATTTGTTTTGTTTGTATATGTATTTTGATAACATTTTTAAGAAGAATGGTCAGTTATAAAATTATATATATCTATATATACAATTGATTGATTATTATCAACAATGAACATTTTATATTCATGTCATAGTGTTTGCACATAATATTAATTCTAGTAGTTTCATGCTTCCTTTTATTATTTTGCTTTGAGTTTGACTTCATTTAGATATGTTAACTATTATGAAAACTTCTGTTTCAGCTTTTTGCCATTCTGCTAGCTTGCAACATGATCAAGATTGTGACTAAAGCCAGATTGTCATATGCAGAACATAGAAGACAATATTATGGGCAGGACCATGCCAGTGTCCATGAAGAAGGTGTTAACAATGTTGCCCTATGAAGCATGTTTGACAAGACCTATTACTGCGTCACACCAATAGCATTCAAGAAGACAGAGACTTTGCTGCAATCAAATATCAAGTTTTAAAGAAATTGCTTGACAATCGACCCAATAATTTAGGGCTTTCTTTTATTCTTTTACAGCTGATGTATTTAATACTACCCTAACCTGATTTTATATATGTTTATATGCACATTATTCATATTTCTGAAATTCAGGATGGCTTTCTTTTATCTATCCACAATTTATATACATATATAAATATAGTTATATATATTTAAAGATATATTTTTGTTTAAGTTATGGGTTAAAGAATTATAATTATTTTTGAATAAAATATTTATTGTTTTAGTTCTTGGGCATACACATTTCAGATACTTTTGACAGTTTAATATATGAACTCTATAATTATTTTGAAAATATGAGAGTGAAATGGCTTATGAATTTTACTTTAGATACAATTTGTGAAGGATGCAGGGGATAAGTGATGCATTTGGGACCATTGCTTTTAACCCATGGTATCTTGATACACTGTAAATGACTCTTAACAAAATTTGAGTTTAGAAAAGAAATAAAAAAACTAGATTAGACTTTTCAAAAGCATACCATCCAGAAGGGAGTAGCATTCATTAAGATAAAGCAGAAGTGCCAGGCTGAGAATTGAAATGCAATGCTCGTTTTCTTTTAGAATGTAATATTGGATCTAGGGGAGACTCAATAGGCCACCACTCTACCCCCTGCCCTTTGGACTAAAGGGACCCCATCCTCCTCCCCCCCCCTCAAAAAAAAGATTATTAAAGCACAATGAAACAGAACTGAATATTTTCTCATCCCTGTCTGCTATTTTAGACTTGCCTTGCTTTATTCAACAGAAAAAATTATCATCGTGCCCTCGATTTCCCCCCCCCCCCCCCCCCCCCCCCCAACTCAAACAAATTCCAGGATCACCCAGTGGATTGCCTTGCTGAAAGTGGAATTTCATTTTGGACCAAAGCAAATTGTTGAGGACACTAGTTTTCTTAGGCAGTGCATTCCAGTTAATACAACAAATAAGATAATGGGCTTTAGCAGCAGTTACATATGCATGACTTATGCCAGTCTCCATCTTGTTACTTCTGCTAATTTTCTGCATCACTCAATATTTTATGGTATTAGTTTGTAAATTAATTAATTGCAGTCAATGTGCTCTTAGATTTAGGTTATTGCTATGCAAAGTGGGTTATTTCTTCTTGTAATAGAATGTCTTGATGGTAATGGAAAAACTTACAGGTGCTTTTTATTGTGCATTATGAAACAGGTATATACAGTAAGTTTTGTTTTTAAAACTGCCTGGTGTTATAAAGATGTAGATTGCCATTGTCTCAAGGAAAATTCACCAAAAAAAATATTGTTTTTGGAAAAATAACATTTTCAAGTTTGAAAATTTAAATTAGCAGTGCCCTCTAGTATGTGTCTTGTCATTTATAATTTTGGTTGATTTTATTGAACTAGCAAGGCATTTATTGTTGTCATTGTAACAAAAAAAGGAATTATTTTATTTCATTTTCCCAAAATAATATACTACTCCTAACTATATTGCATTTTTTTGGTGATGAATAGTATTATGTACAAAGGATTTTTTTTAATGAAAAAAAAAAAAAATTAAATAAAAAACAAGGAACTGGGCTTGTGGCAGCAACTATTTTGTTTGTTTGTATGCAGATTGTATCAAATAATATATATTTTGTATTGCATTAACTAACCTTGTACTGTGGTCTCGTTTATGTTATAATTTGCTTATATTAGGCAGGGATACGTTTACATACATCTTTGGGTAGAAATTTTCATTGTCTTCAAATGACTTGTAAGGCAGTTTTGCATCCTTCATTTAAAACTAGTGGGAAATGTTCTATTTTGAATTCTTATTCTGGTAAAATTAAGTTGGCCACAAATAGTAGTTTGGAGTGACAGCTGATGGTGATGATGTTCAATGAACTGCAAGTGAATGAAAAAGATCACCTAGATGAACCTGTTATGTATGGATGGAAAAATCTCATGCGTTTTGTAAAAGAACATTTTTAGATCTCAGTTTCTTGTTATTTTTAATAGAGGACCAAAAATACATTTCAGTTTTTATAGTCTTTTTCTTGTTGTGACACAGAGCTTTATGCTTTACAAATGGGTATGGATAAGTGTACTCAAAGAAAAACAACTGTTTTTCTTGAATATAAGATTTTCACTTTTTAAAGGCCCCAAACCCTCTTTAATCATATTGTAGGAAAAATAAAAGAAAATTCTGCCAAGACACTATCACCGGGTTACATTTCTATTATTTAAGCTGAACAGTTCTAATATTCTACTACAGTGAAATGAGATATCTTTTAAAGTGAATTTTAAAGATAACTCTGGCTTTAGCATACGGATATTTTCATTTATATATAAGTTAAAGTTTGGTCACGACTCTTTACCATAGAAAAAGTCTTAATAAGTTCTTGGTTATTCTTATCAGACAATATTTCCAGGACAAAACATTTTGTCAGCAAGCAAATTCAGGATTGTGGTACTGTACAATAATATAATGACTTGACCTTTTCAATGAGAAAAATCAACAATCTTTCAGATACATATTTTAGAAACATTAATATATATATATTTTTATATGGCATTTGAGGTGTTTTTACCATATAGAATAGAATTAAAAGGTAACCTCCTTTTTAATTCAAATGCTTCCATTTGATAATAATGCTCCAAATTTAAGAATTTATGACTTGAAAAATCGCAGTATCTGTAAAACTCATAATTGAATCTTCATCGTATTCATTCACACTTCGAGCACCCACGACAATGAAGAAATCATACTTAACTAAAATCTAAATATCTTTTAACGAATATAAATTATTAATGCCAGCTTTTTACAAAACAAATTAAATCCACATGCCAAGAAGCAACTGAAATTAATCCCTCAAGCAGCAGTAAATGGTTTTAAACAGAACCTTCAAATATCTGGTCTCAAATTTCATCGTATTCCCCCCTCTAGTCCATAAACCACAAAAACAAAGAAGGAAATTAATCTGAAAATATTATTTTTTCAAGAAAAGATGAAAAGAAGTTCTGTATTTGACACGTGTATTCGAAACATTTGGCGGTAGGCCTATTAAGCTGGGTTTAACGGCAATAGATGAATAATTTGACATTAGTGCTTATATTGACTATCCATTTACCTTTTACAAGCAAGTCTACAAAATGTGTACAATTGTTTTCTTAATCTTGCAAATTTCATCCGTTTTGATTGTTTCTTTTTTTTTTTTACCATTCCACAAGGTTAACAAAGCGTGTTGCTGCTTTTGGTTCAAAAATGTGTCATGAAAAAAAAATTGGAATTATGAATTATTGACTGCTGAATGTCATCATTATAAAGCAGATAGGTAATTAGAGGGTTCTAATTACATTATTTGGATAGTTTATATTTTAAGCAATTGTTGGGTCTGTTTTGATTGCTTTAAAGTGCTATGATTTGTGCGCAGTTTGGAAATAAATAAAGATTATGTATAAATTTTTATTTTGTCATTCCTTTAAAAGTATTAACTAGTAATGGACATACCCTTTCTACTCCCAAAGAAAAAGTGAAGACAAAACAACGCATTTTTTCATCAATGAGGCCTACATTTTGTTATTATTATACTAAAAATGTTCTATGCCTTTAATATTTTTCATATTCTTTTGCCCTCCTCCCCTTTTGCAAAATCATAAATCTGCCAGTGTCATAACTGTGACATACGTATGCCACTAGCCAGCAATTTCAAAGGGTGGGGTGTCTTTTTTAACTTTTGAAAAAATGAGCCCATCAAGCTCATTTACGAACTCTACTAGTATTTAATGAAGATTTATCTTTGTACATAAAAATACATGATTATTTGATAAAAATAAACAATGCAGCAAAGCTGTCAAATGTACATACAAAAAGCAGAAAAAATGATGCACAAAATAGAGAACTGTCAATTCTGATGCAATAATACATTATGTCAACACCAAATTTTTATTATGCAAAACAGGACATCTGGATGTAAGTAAAATGTGTAACTAACATACGGCTTCAGGCCCTTAAAAGTTCAAGTTCACAATTTGAAAATGCCAGAAATGGAAAAATGAAAATTTCACAAAAATATTTTATACAATCAACCTGGTTTTCCAATTTGAGCTGTATGTCAATCCTAAGAATCATTCTTTTAGTTTAAAAATAATAAAAAAGTTTTTTCTTTCATAAAAAAATTATGCACAAAATAGGTAACTGTTAATTCTCATGCAATTATACATTAACATGCTAACATAATTAAAGGCCTAAAATTGAATCTGAGGATAAACCACATATATGCAAAAAAAAAAAAAAAAAAACTGAAAATTTATCTCCCCAGATCTTATTGTTAACAAATCTCATGAACTGTAAGAATTGAATTAAAAATGCGGAATTCCGCGTTTTCAGGGAAATAGCTCAACTCTAATATTAGTCCTTTGAATCGGTCCTGCAAAGTATGAAAGCAAAATATGACCCCATTCCCATAGATCAATCTATCCCTGTGGGGAGTATCACTAGATTACTGTCAGCTGAGCCGGCTTAAGCGTCTGTCTACTAAAAGCTGTAAGAGGGTAATTAACTATGGTGCGTGCTCAGCTGACTGCGATTTAGTGTGAACCCCCAGGGAGTTAAGTCGATCTAAATCTAAATCTCTGGATCGATCTAAATCTCTTGGAATGCACCCTATGACATGGTTTTTATGTTATCTGTATAACAGTGGATAAAATATGCAGAAAAAAAAAAGAAAAAAAAAACATAACTTCTGGAAAAATGGTTCAATCAAGCTGATTTTCAGTCAGATTTATTACTTCTGTGAGTTTAGAGACAATAGGCCTATCAGTTTTATTTGACATTTGTTGTCAGTAGAGCATATATGCTGGAAAAAAATAATTATTGAAAAAGTGGCCCAATCATGTGGATTTTTTAAACTCGACCTCTATTTTATGAATATTCATCAGTTCCATTAGACAAAAGTTTAAACGGTTTTCCACGTCATGTTAACTCTGAAAGTGTACTTTAATGATGGTGATGGCTAGATGTACAGACTCATCTGTATGTATCTGTACATAAAAATTGCTGTATAATATGAATCTTGTCAAATCAAGACAAACATTCAAATGGTACAGGTACAAGACCTCAGTACAGCTTTACATTTGACTTGCTCCTCAAAAATAATTTTTCATTTTTGCATCCCCATGCACGATCTTTTGATTTGTCAGTTTTCATACAATCTGAATATTGCAGGCCTACACCGAGGCTGAGAATTGTTAAAAGAAAGTAATGATGCTTTTCTTGTTTCAACAAATACTTTCTTGGACAACTATCTGCAGAAAGTAGAGTTATAAAAACACATTTCTTTCTTGATTCCTTAAATGTGAAGATTATTTGTTATGAAAGCAAGAAACTTCCTTTAAAAATCCATGCATGCCATTTTTCTGAGAGAGGTGTTTCTGGAAACAAGGACATTTCACGCAGCCTCTTCTCTTAAGGTCTCTCCAAGTAAAACTATCACAGGGCAACACAGTCAGGGATGGTTCCCAGAGATGATTGTTATGCAGCCTGTTCCATTGGTCAGACGGCCAGAAGTAGAGCTATGGGACAGTGGTCACTCCCCATCACCTCCTTACGAATCAAACTGTCACAAAGACTAGGGAGCAACTTTTTGGAAATCAGGAAGTAGTCCAGTCGCCTGAAAATACATGAACATTTGCTGATCAGGATATCCCCTTTTTCTAAGAAATTGTTTTTGAAACAATCAAATTTGAGCCTCTATTGATTTTCTCACTTATAAAATCAAAATTTCATTTGAAACATAGAAGAGAACATATTAATAATTCTATTCTACACCACAATTTATACAGTTTATGTTATTCCAGCTACCTTCATTTAAATGACTGAGATGAGGTACATCTTTTTTTGGCGAGTTTCAAATTTGTATACTGTGGCACATATGTGATAGCAAAATGTAGCAGGTTTGAACAATTTTTCAGTGTGACATCATAAAAAAGACCAAAGAGATATCCATACATACTAAGTACAATCATTTTCTCAGTGTGGCAGTGCATGTCAGATAAATGAGACATTAAATATGTAAAGTGTGATCCAGGCACCAATTGTCACTCACCAGCCCACATTCTTTGACCTAGCATTGCCCATGTATGTCCAGAAGCTATAAGCACCAGTTACATCTGGATATAAGTGCCGGAAAGAATCAACAAACCCCTTATCCAGTAGCTTACTCAGTCCATCAATCTCAGCCTGAGTGTAGCCTGGAGTCTTGTTGTAGTTACTCTTTGGATTAGCAAGATCTGGAAATGTGCAGCAAACGACAAAATATATATAAATATCCATACATAAATATAAAGTATATTGCAGTAACATTATCCTATAACAAAACTACATCTATATCTCTATATATATATTTTCACAAAAAAACTTGCTCAATTTGTCTTAAAAATGTCAATTCATTTATTACCACGCCAACAACTTTCATTAATAAAAAAAGAAAAAAATCAATAAGAGACTTACCTATTGCTTTGTGAGCCACATTAAGATCTCCACAAAGTATTACTGGCTTCTTCTCCTCAAGTCCCAACAGATATTCTCTGAATGCTTCATCCCACTCCTTGGTTCTATAGTTAAGACGTACTAAGCCACGCCCCGAGTTAGGAACATCTGAAACAGAGGTGGATTTTTACCATAAAATAATGTTATCAAGGATTAACAAGGTAGATTTTGCTAAACTGAATAATATTTCATAGCACAATCTTATCTTATTCCCAACTTAACATGCAAAAATTATCAAAACCAACATCATTGTCAGTGCCAAAGCCTCTTCAGCTCACAGACTATTGGAGGTCAAAGGCTCTAAGAATCTATGGGCCCAAATCAGAGAAAGTGACAAAAAGTGAATAATTTTAAAAAATATTTACAGACCCACCTACAATTTCACTGGCATTTGACATGAAGCTAGTTGTTTATGTTGCTGACTGACAGTTTATTTACCAGTTTCCATCTTTTTGTTTGTTTGGAGTTCCAAAAAACTGAGAACATACTCACATGAAGTGACTAGATAAAACTTTTCATATTCTGCTGTGATGGCGCGGCCTTCATTATCATGTTCCTCAATTCCTGTAAGACACAATTTCCAGTTTATAACATGCTTTACAAAATCATTAAAAACTTGTCAAGAAGAAAATTCTGAAGATGCAAGTGTTCACTTCCAAACAATTTTTGCAAAATATTCTATAAAAATCATAAATCCATCACAGATGTTCTGTATACTGTACTTATTATGAGTCTTTAGCAATAACAATTCAGCATGATTTAAAAGTTCAGCATTTAAACTTTAAACCTAAAATTGAACAAATAAAAATAAAAGCTAAGCTTAAAAACAGATCACTGTCAAGCTCAAAGTCAATAATTCAATTTCAATAAAACATTTAAAACATGACAGCCCTCAGTTCCTTCTTGTAATCAATCTGGGTTACAAAATTTCTTAAATGTGAAAAATGTTCAAATCAGAAACCACTGTCCCACCTAAGCCATATTTAATGCTGAGCGGTTTGGTTTTAGACAGAATCCCAGTGCCTGCATAGCCCTCTTTGTCTGCTGTCAGCCAGTAGGGGTAGTAATCTGGAATGCTACACTCTGGAGGAAGTTTGTCCTCCGCACACTTGATTTCTTGGAAACAAATTATATCTGGATTTTCCTTCCTGACATACTCGTGTCCATTTTTCTAAATTAGAGAAAATTATCCAAAGGTACTTTGTTGCATCGCTCATTCTTTTTGAAGGTGTTGACTCCATTAAGTTTCCAGTACTAACAATGCAATAGTATAATTTTGCAGACAGTATTATGTTGGAAAAAAGTTACAAAATGTTTTAAAGTACTTATTGAGTTTCCTATTGATAAGAATCTGCATTAGGTATCCAATATGAAAAATAAAGGCTAACATTATTTAAGTACCTTGATCCATGCACGAATGCCATTGATATTCCAAGACACAATCTTCATGTTCCATGGGCGGCCATCTTTAGATTTAGCATCAGAACTAGCTGTCCAGTCTGTTGAAGGTGCAGAGGCCTACAAAACATTTCATTTAAAAACAGATTCAGCATAAAAAACATATATTCAACAGGTTTGCATGAAATTCATGCATTAGCAATCCTATTTACAGTTTCTGATATCCACTGTATGAGCTAAAACATTGAATTTCAGGTGTGCATGCTTCACAAGTGGGTTACGCTTTAACATGCAATGTTACACTTATTATACCACTTCAAAAATTGAATCTCTTTTTTAAGATCTTAATCTCCTAAATTACTGCTAAATCAAGTGAACAATTCAAATCATATAATTTACAAATAGTTATTGCCTCTACCATCAAGCTAAATACAGTCTTACAGGATCCTTTGTGAGAAACACAAACACGTACACATCATACATGGGATAAAAAGCAGATCAAACAGCAATTCCAAATTTTTTACTCAGTTGAGAAACAACAAAGAATTTCAGACATACACAATGTAAATGTATATGAACATAAATGTAATACAATACCTCAGGTTCCTCTTTTTTTGATTTCTTTTTTGGCTCCTCTGAAGAGTCACCCTCCTAAAAAACAATTAAGGAGGAAAAAAAATCAGCCTAGTCAAGCAAGTCAGTACTAGTAATCACAACATACTGTAAATGTGCCATGCTGAATTTCAATGGAAAACACAGAAACCCAAGCAGCATTTCTAAAAACATATCAGTACCTTATTAACAAGGCATATCTTCTTTTCATGTGTTTGCTTATTTCTGCTTGCTAACAACAGTTCTATGTGAGAACCATTCATGAAGTGCTGATTCCCTCTTTGGTAATTATGCATCAAGTGTTCCCACCAAGCTGACACAGAGCCAAGTCTGAACTTAGCCAGTTTAGTACTTATGGCGGACATCATTTTGAACTATAAAATATTCCAGGTGAGTACTCTCATACTGTCTGAAAATATAATGAGCGTATAAAATTTTCTTACAGGACTTATAACGTCTAATGAAATACAGCAACTTGGTATACCAACTTGCTAAATATATAAGCCAAATGGAGGAGGAAAAGTCAGATATCAAACTTGAAAACGAAAAGGATTTACATGTATACATTGGTTTCATATCATACATGCATGTACATGACGACAAGATCGCAAAGGAAGAAAAGAAGATATGCCTTGGCTGGGACCTTATTGTTTAACAAAAAATATCAGACAAAATGGACTCATACATATTGTGCACTGAGGGGGGAAGTACTCCCAAAGGATACATGGGTTAACGTATCCTTTGGGATACGTTACATGGGTTAACGTATCCCAAAGGATACGTTAACCCATGTAACTTAAAAAATTTACATTATGTTAGAAGTAGATCAATTCTAATGTTGTTCTATTTCATTTACTTATTTTAGAGGCACAGAGGAGACTATTAACATAGTGAATGTGCTAAACCATTTCAATTTTGTTATAGATGGATACAGCTATCAGGAGTAGCAGAAAAAAAACAGAGACACTGCTCAAATCAGAAAAAAAATCTTTTCAGCAGAGTGCTGTGCTGATAGAACATTTAGGTGAAGAGATACAGTGAGAATAATAATACAAGATGCAACTCTTGAATTCACTTTGTACCCCTCTTTTCTGCCTTTCCACCAACTCTTCACCCAGAATTCTTATCAACGCCACTGATAAGAGTCATACATTGGAGAGGAGTCCCAACATAACACCACCCAGAGATAACTATAATATGGACTAGTTCATCAGTACCTGTCACACAAGGTGAATTTAGACCAGACCAGTTTGTGGTTCTTGTCCAAATCAGGTAACCACAAGAAGAAACATCAACCTAACATACCAGAATTTGAACGCATCAGGTTCACTCTTGGATCAAGTCTCCCCAAATCCACCCATCTTACCACAACAGTCAGAGGCTGACCCAGAAGATGTTCATGAAGAGACCTTACCAGAAACAACTGACACAGGCTGTGACACTGCTCCAGGTGGAGCCCACTCCTCAGCACAAAGTTTTTGGATGCGCCAAAGGTCATCAAACTTTTCCAAAGTGAAAACCCCAGATCAGAGGAAATACCAACAGGAAGGAAATGGAAGTATTTACTTCACAGTAGCATTTCCACTTTTTTCTTTTTCCTTTGTTCAGTGGCAATGAACCAATGGTCATACCAATTACCAGAATACATAATATATAATATGTACATTATAATAATAATAATAATAATAATACATAATTTATAACATTATTTCCCACATAATTATAATACGGACTAGGTCATCAATGACTGTCACTCAAGGTGACTTTAGACCAAGGGTAGAAAAAAAGACTGTATGTTGGCACTGTGGAGTACATTAATACAGTGTCTTGGGAGGTCCTCATGTAAGAACTCAAAAAATTCCAGAAGGCCGCACATCAGAACCCATCTACATGTTTTTAAAAAAAATTGAAAATCCTGCAGCCCTGGGGAACCCAAAGGCCATTTAAAGCAAATAATTTGCAATGGCTACAGCAAGGGAGCAGGACAAGCCTGCACATATATGCACCAGGCGCAGAACACACTGCAAAATTCAAAGGAAAAAGGTAAAGGTGTTAGCAGTGGTGGGTTCAACTTGGCTGTAAATCTCAATTACCTACTGAGTGATTTTGTAAAGGAAATAACACATGAGAGCATCAAAGTGCAAACTATAATCTGTTATACAGACAATCAAATTCAGGACTTGAAGCATTTTTGTTGGAGCATTTAATGTGTGAATTATTTTCTTTTGGGGAGGAGCCCCGGGTGTTGGTTCATAGAATATAAAGGACATGTCAAAAAATGTCAGTGGGTCCATAAGTAGTAAAGCAGAGCCCCGAAATGCACGTCATTACAAAAGTGCCAGCAATAGCAGATGTATATTTTAAAAAATTTGAAACATACTTGTCATATATCCCTTCTGAAGGCCGATTGTGAGAAAGGACGGTGCAATAGCATTCAGTGCACAAAGTACTGGAATTAATACGCTTTCTAACTATCTTCCAAAAATGTTTTTGGAAGTTGGAATTAATACAGATGGTAGAAAAATTACAGGCCATAGTGGCAAAGTCACTTGTTGCACACAATTGTATAGTGCCAGATTCAAGGAAAAGGCGATTAAGAAGTAAAGTGGACATTTGTCCGACACTGTTCGTCTTTACAAGCATCCGTCCATGGAACAGGAAAGAAAGGAAAGAGTTAGTGACGCACTGCAGCCACCTCGTCCAAAATCATGCCTCTGTCAAAGGAACAGAATACAATATAAAGAGAAACTGAAAAAAAATATGGAAAGTGGGATGAATATCTAGAAACTCAAAGAATCCAGAAGCAGATTGTAAGACATGAACAGAAAGCGAAAGAAACTCCAGTTGACACTGAGCAAAGATGAAAAATGGAAAGGGAAAGGAAAAAGGCATACCGTAGGACCAAAAAAGAGCAAGTATCTCTGAACCTTAGCATCACAAGTGCAGGATCAGAACAGCAATTCAATTTAAATGGCATTGTCCTAGAAAATCGTGGTGGTTGGATCTTAGTTAGATAGCCCATCCACACCCTCCTGTGCTTCCATACCCACATCATCTTCTATGCCAACTGCCTCTCTGCTTGTAGAAATGCCATTCTCCAATGCACAGAGCCATGGAAAAGCTCTGAAGAGGGCCAAAATATACATGCCCAAAAAGATACATACACAATCACAATGTCATTCAAGGCACAGCTCAGCTTCACCAGGGAGATTTTGTCATTGCAGAGTTTGCTGCCAGGAAAGAAGTAAAACAATTCTTAGGTCAGGTCACCCATGAGACTGAAGATGGTGAAGTGGAAGTCAGCTTTTTACACACTAAAGGTTCTGGCAAAAGAATCTGTTCCTGCCACAGAAGACAAAGCATGGATTCCCATAATATATATATATATATATATATATATATATATATATATATATAGAAAGTCCTTCAAACGCCTAGCATAGATAAGTATTTATTTAGTTTGTTTTGATCACTTTGAATGTTATTTATTTATTTTTTAGTTTGCGTAATTTGTTCTGTTCGTTATTCTTAGAGACATTTGTCAACCCACGCTGTCCAACCTATTGCAGGTATAATAATAAATAATATGAGTCCCTACCAATCAGTCTCAGTCTGTTACAATCAAGACACTGTTGTATGCAGAGCTTAAGTGTTACATGGGTGGACCAATAATAACTATGAATCTCTAAATTACATTAGCAATGAAATAGATGGGAAAAAACTCCATATCCCAAGGCTGGTGGATTCTTTAGGGCAACTCGTTTTTAGCTATTATCATGCCAAGGAAGATCATTCACGCAAAGAGGTGAGTTTCAACTCACAGGTGCATACCAGGGTGGTATCATTAGCATGCACGACCAAAAAATGGGCAAGGCTTGCAACCCCCGAGTGAATAATCCGTCAGAACGGGTTGTTCACGAGAACGGATTATTCACGTGATATCGTTAATTAGCATGATCGATAAATGAAAGCTGCAAATATTAAATTATCAAGTATCTTAAAAGGTATATTAAGAAGAGAGCTCATTCTCTTTGTTCAACTTAAGTGACAGTGGAAGTCTGGACAGAGTCGAGATGTCTGTGATGAGATAGTCAGCCACGCAACTATACATTATCAATGTAGGACTCACAACTAACATTAGCACTTTATGGAAAAAAATACCAAAAAAAATTGTAACTACAAGCACTAACCTTTCTTTTTCTTCCCATGGCTGAAAGTACTGATTTGCACGCGGTCTTTTCAGCGGCACCTGTCTGTTTATAGGAGAAGTCGGGGTCAAGATAAGACACGAATAAAATCTTCTTCTTTTCATCTTTTCACTTTTAGATATAACATTAAAAATCTTTATAAATCTACATAAATGTCCTTTGTTTTGGAAATAATCATAAGAAGTGTCTAACATTCTCATGCAACTACAAAACCGTCTTTTATGTAAGCGCCATCTATGGAAATAAATTCTTTAAAGTGCCTTGTTTACATTGCCAACTGCGGGATTTTATTTCTTGTACTCGACAAAAATTGCTTTTATTCGAATATACTTCATGCAAAAAGAATGACACGGTTTGAAAATGGAGTATATCGAGCCAGACATTTATAACGCTCTGAAAAATGATAATGCCAAGACTTTGGATGAGTTTCTTGAAGCTGGTTTTGACGTGAACCACACGTTTTGCACGAAGAGGATTCCACCGCAGGATGTTGGTTTGACACTCCTGCATGTTGCCGTGAAAAGCAAAAACAGCAACGTGATCAAACTTCTAATCAAAAGAAAATGTGATGTGAACGTTCTGTCCACGCAAGACCCAGGATCCTACCTCCCTTCCACTGTAAAACATTTAGGGAAAAATCTAAAACAGAGTTCTTTATACTTGGCAGTTGTGAACAATGATGTTGAAACTGTTAAAGTGCTTGTAACCGCAGGGGCAGACTTAAAGTTGTGTGACGATATGGGGTGCTCTGTTCTCTGGCATATAACAGACCTGTATGGTGACATATCTATGGCGAGGACCATAATAAAGAGTGGTCAGTGTGCCATTAATTACGCTGATATACATGGGCTGGGGCCCCTCCATGTGGCTGTCATTCGTGGTAACATAGACTTTGTGAAGTTCTTAATGCGCAGCAGAGCTGTAGTTGATTTAGAACAATGTGAAGGTGCTACACCATTGTGTCTTGCATGTAAATATGCCAAGAAGGAGGCAGTTCAGGTTCTCCTACAACACGGTGCCAATCCAAATCATATAGGTAGAAACAATATCTCTCCAGTAAGTTGTGCCATAGGGTTTATGCGGAATAGTAAAGGCAACTTCAATGATGTGCTGGCCCCACTCATTATGGCTGGTGCAGCTCTGCCCTCAGTTCACAGAATTATCGCATCTCTGCCAAAGATGTATTTAGTGATGTATCCAGAGTTCCACCAGTGGCTGTTGGAGCATGCCTCAAAGCCTCGACGGCTTATGGAGCTATGTGGACATGTCATCAGACAACAGCTAGGCAGAGCAAGATGGGGACAGAGTGCTTATGCTGCAGTGGAACAACTTCCCCTGCCAAACTTTCTGAAAGACTATGTAGAACTCAGGCATTTGTAAAAATGCATTAAGTTCATGTAAATTGAACAATGCCATGTTTATTTTCAGAATATTTACTTCTGTCAGAGGATAATATCTGAAGTAAAAAAGCATTTCTAAAAAGTGTCTCTCGGAACGTAGATTGCATTATTCACAAGACAAAAATGTTGACTTTTGCCAAAATGTGTAAGAAAAAATTAAGGTCTACATGAAGATTCGGTTATTTGCATGTAAGTTAATCTCAAGTGTGAGGAAATTATATGTACTTTGATCCAAGTACAAAACTGAGAAATAATGTACTTTGTATATAATTTTCAAAAAATGAAAAGGCCAAAACAAGCAGTCTTTTGTGACATTTTCTTTTTTATTGTCATCATATCTGTATGCAAGACATCTTGGGCAATAATCATAGTAACATATCAAGTTATATATATTTATATAAATACTGTGCACTATGACAATATGACAATAACAACACTGTAACAGATCTGCACACCTGTAACTTGTCTTCAACTTCTATAATTAAATAGATTTATAATTAAACAAAATGCAACAGTATTTAACTTGAAAGTTGCACAGTCAAGTAAGTTTACACTCTGCGACAGTTTTCTTAATTTACAGTGATTGCTCATGATATAGAAATGATTCCATACCACAGCAACAGCAACATAAGTTTACCACAAAATCAATAAAATGTCTTAATACCTATTCATTTTCAGCAAAAAGTATTAATTTTGCCAGCTTATCAAAAACTTTAATAATTGCAGCACCTAACAACATTTGGTAAAATCAGAGCAACTAGGAACTGTAACAGAAAGTAGCACTCTGTACAGTACCATACTGCGGTTTCTAGCCTGCAGAAAACCACTTTTATTTTGAAAACCAGCTTGACTGATCATTTTATTTTTCATATTTATGTGCACCATAACTGTCTTCCTTTTTTTACATTTTGTATGAAAATTTCTAACTAAAGTGACTTACACTTGTACATGATAACACAACTGATGACTGTACCCTTTGTACACCTTAACAACATTTTAAGTGGTATACTATAAAATATAGATTTCCATTGTTCTCACTGAAGTAAGAATGTGAGAAGAGACATAAATGTCACATCTAACACAATATCACAACCTAGTCAAAGGTGAGGAATGTGAAACAGCAGCCAGAAATATGCTAGAGGTTGCTCATGAAAGAGAAGCTGAACTGACAATCAATTTCTATCGTGGAAAAAAAATACACAGACTGAAATGAAGATGTTTTGGAACTACACATCTTAAATTTATAGAAGGGTAGTTAACTGTTGTAAACCATACCAAATGTTGAGGTTATGAGAAAATTAAACCTAACATTGGATCTTACATGTACATTGAAATGGGGATCAAGACATTTTAACCTTATTGCAAGGTCTTCTTCAGGTGAGCTGATTTTGAATTGTCACTGGTGACCCATGGTGGAGCTCTGCACAGGATGTCTCCCAGGGCCAGGTCCCAAAGATGTGTTAGTTTTGACATGAAGAACTTTGTGATCCTCAATAAAGATGACTGGTTCAGACAAGCTGTGAAAGAAGCCATTCATGAGTGGATTGAACAACCCACCCACAACAAGCACAGTAGCTTGAGATACCAACTACCACGTCTGTATGATCGGGCATTGTGAGACACCCACCTCAGAGCGTCACCTCCTGTCACCACTGACAATTCAAAACCTGTTTATCTGAAGAAGACCTTATGATAAGGTCCAAACTTCATGATCTCCTTTTTAACACAGGATCCAGTATTAGATTAAATTTTTTAGTAATCTCAGTATATCATAACTGGATGAATCAAAATATTCACTTTGATATTAATATCAAATGTCTTCACAAGTGGTTTTCCATAATACAAAATTTCAACATTTTGTTATATTTTATACAATACTGATTATGACAGGTTTTGTCACAAACTGGCCATAACAGGATGATCCTATTAAAATAACTATCAAATTGGATACAGATACAAAGATGGACCATGATACTGCATTGTCAAGCACTTGTTTAGTTTTCATAACTGTACCTTTTCTATGCATAAATTAGGACTGCAGGAAGTGTTTGACAACTTCAACATATTACTGAAATCAAAGAATTGATTAGACTTAACAATTAAAACTAAAAGCATTTAGTGAGCTGTACAGCCATCACTTCTAACAAATACAGCATTTAACAAATACTCATAATTTCAATCAATTTTCTTTATATGCAGCTTTATACTTCGTTACATTACTCATTTATATTTCTCCTAATTGATCTCAAAGGCAACTGCAGCAGTATTGGATTTCTTCCAATTTTTTTAAACTGATAAGCAGTTTCCAGAGAGAGCAGGTGCCTTTGAAGAACAAACATGCTGAATGATGCAATGCAAATATTTCTATTAAATACATATCTATTTAATGAAATCACTTAGAATTAGCAGCTCCAGTGGAAAAAAAAAGATCAAGACTTAAATATAAGTGAGTTATCTGTGGGTGGAAATGGCCACATTCACTGCATTACATGGGTGATAATAAACAGAATCTTAATAGAAGAAATTAGAAATCAATAACATGTCCATTAGATAAAACTTAAAATCCCTAAAAGGAGATTTTTATGGCTTTATGGTTCATAAATAGATGAAAGGTTTGGATGGCTTTATTCTGCCCATGGAAAAAGGACCACTTCATATGCTCATCTGCTGAGGTAAATGCCTTTGACAGCTGGGACGTGTCCGTTTTATAGACATCTGACGTGACAGGACACTGAAAACAATTCAAGGCCAACTTCCATCCTGAAAACAATCTTTTTTTAGCTAAGGTACAATAAGACATTAAGAGAAACACCATTTTAACTCAATACACAACCAAGATAGAAACATGCATGGTTCTCTGAACCAATGCAGCTCTGTGTACTTAAAACTGCCAAACTTTATACATCTTTGAGTTGAATGTGACTGCTAAAGATTACCCAAACTTTTCCATCTACTCATACATTTCTAAAATAGGCTCTGTGATAGGTATGTGGAACATCTATGTTTGGAATCTTCCGTTAAATTAGAAGGTTACAGAACATATTTCTCAATTTTGTACCAGAACATTTTACTCAAATTGCTTATGCAGTGCAAGTACAGTAACAGAAACATTTCTTTAGAAACATTTCAGTGAAGATAAAATCTATCAGTGTCTCTTTTTTATCTATCAGTGAGTGTTAAAAAACAGCTCTTTGGCCCAATAAACATGAGATCTTTACCTCCACTGATTATCCTCTAGCTTCCTCTGCATTATTGCCTGTAACAGTCATTCACTAATCAGATTAATACAATAATCTGAATACTTGGGCATGACAAAAAATTCCTTATCAGAACAAATCGTTCCAATCAAACTTTATGAGATAGTTTCTTCATAAATACAGGTATCAGTTCATTCATACTGAAAACTTCTCATTGAAAAAATGCTGTATTACAAATAAATTTATATACTATCTGTGTTTCACATTGCTCTTTATCTTTGCTCTCAAAAAATGTGAAATTCTGAATCTACATCTCTGTACTTTTGACTCCCTGACGCTGTAGCCCCTTTTCAAAAGCCTGTCGAGTCTTTTCAACAACCTTCCTTGGCCTTTCTTGTCCTTTATCCTTCAACAAGTGCAGCTGTACAACAGCTCGTCTTGAATTCCGCTACCTAATCCTTCAACAAGTGCCACTGTGCAACAGCTTGTCTTGGTTTCTGCATCATTTCACTCCAATGCTTTTGTTCTATTGGGCCGCTTCTTGATGCTAACAAAAATTTTCCTATCAGTTCATTTCTAGTCATTTTATCAAAGTCCATGACTGAAACTTCTAAACTAGTATCTCTTATTTTTTCAAGAGGTACGTCAAAGCTAAATGATTCATTAAACACAGGAGATAAATTTCTCCACTTGACAGTGGTTTTTCTCTTCTCTACCCTCTTGCCTCCTTGCATTAACCATATTTTTACATAAGGATCTGAAAAAGAAAAGAAAACCACTTAGCAAACATCTTTTAAATTATCGAAATGATTAGGTTTGAAAAAAGCATACGTATGAAAATTAAGGTGTTCAGTAAAATAACAAACTTAGATGCTTTCTCAATTACTTGGTCTGTTTGCTAACCTTGTATTATAATATTGCATGACAGATAAAATGAAGTTATAACCACTGTCATGTCAATCTGTATACATACCCACAGTGTGTAACAAACATTTACTCACCTGAAGAACCTCCCACATCTTTTGCCTTCAAATCTCTAGCTTTGACAACTTCTACCTGTATTCTACCTGGTGTGGGAGTGTAACATATAGAAACCATCAGCTCTCCTAGTTTGCCCTGAAATAAACACAGACTTTGTGTAGCTTATCAAGAAATGAAAAAAAAAATATCACAATTAGTATCTGTCTCAATTTAAGAGATTCTCTCTTGATACTTAAAAACTGCTTCACAGTGCATGGTTACACTTATGTTTGACAGTAGGAAAATATTGACAAAAACCTATTAGTGTTTACAAAGCCAGACAACTAAAATTATCAAATCTATAGACCTGTACCAGCATTGAGAGTGTACAGATAACTACAATAAATTATTATAGTTTTTAGCAAAACAGTTACATTTTGTCTGTTAGCATGTATATATGACAATGTGACCCTGAAAACTAGTTGTAAAGCCTGTGAAACTATGTGAAGGAGAATGGGGTAATAGATCATAAGACTGCTATGTGCAGTGTGGTCATGAATAAAAGCCGGCAGAATTTATCCAGGTGTACTTTTGTTTCATTTTCTTGGAGCTCAGACAAATTACAATCTACTACACAACATTTCACCATTTTTTTCTATAACCTTTTTATTGCTTTCATGGACATTTTCCCAGTGTATGGACTTTCACCCCTATCGGTTCAAAGTTAACCCCACCCCATGGTTTCTCTGGACTTCTACTCTGCTACGTTGTACTGACAGCCTCTTCTTACGCTATCTCAGATGATCCCCATTTGGATAATCGAAATAAACAGAAACATGCACACTTTTAGTTGTTGTGATGGTTTATGATTCGCAAGCAGACTGTGATAATGGCTTAATGTATAAAAATGACAATAAAATCAATCAAATCATATCCAACATCTCAATGGCAATTAGTTATATACCAACTTTACTGGAATGAATTTTTCATACTAGACATAACAGACTGCACATATTATGCAATGTGCACCTAGCACAGAAGGCCTCTGTCTTATCTGGTGCCCATCAGACGAGGCAAGATCAATACCACAGCAAAATGAAACATCAGAAACAGCTCATGATACAATGTCATATGAATCATGGACATGGCAGATTATGGTACTTTTACAAACGACTCCCTGCACAGAATGTAATTCCTACAGAGAACATACATTAGTCTTTCAACATACAAACTAGCTGATTTTAAAATTATCTAGAAAATATGACAATGCTATTGTGCTTTTTTTGTTGTTGCTTTTTTATCAAGGGCAATTAAGAAGGGTCCTGGAAATCAATTCTCATATTTGGATACTTTCCACTGACTTCTCCACACATTCAATATGTGTTAGTGAAAATAACGTAAAGACACAAAATGACAAATAACAGCTTACAGAGAACGCTACAAAATGTTCATATTTCCGTGAAGAGCAGGTGGATTCAAAAACCCCACACATCATTTCAGAGGAAACCCATTGAAGGTGGCACACTTTTCAAGTAATTAGTGATTAGGAGATCCCATTTCCTATTTCAATTTCATTTGGAGGTATAATCTGTCAAAAACTCAATTGCTAGGATATGGCATGGGAGCAAAAAACCAAGCAAACAAATGATTTATTAACCTTGGGGTTAACTACAAGTTCCATTTAGGTGGAAAAAACAATCCCTAGGACAATGAATCAATGTGCAGATCTCTTTTTTCAATATTTATAGTGTTTAGGATTATCATACAAAAAAAGAAGATATATAAGAACATATGAGCCCTCTAGGTATCTGCCTCACTTCCTCCAGACTATCTACTTTGGTAATATGCCCAAAGATTACACTCTCTGCACTGAATTCTTCTTTTTGTTTGTGCTTTGGAGAATAGCATATTATCATATAAAGTAGTCTGAAAACCCCAGTTGAATCCATATCTCATACAGCTACTTTTGGCAAAAGAATGACATTTAAAATGCCAGATTTGGAGTGCTTCCCTTGACAGTGCCCTGAACATCAAAGGTTTCTAATATTTCTCTGTTCTCACTGATTACACAGTCAGATATAAAAAATGACCATGACCTGCATTGGCAGTGCCTCACAACTCATCTACGTTCTCCCAATATTTTCAATGGTTTCGATGCTTCCACTACACATTTCGTGTGACATATTTAATAAGTCTCAACTCCCTAGGCAACAATGTTTTAAAATAATCAACAACCTCCTCACCATTGAGATAACATGTATTATCTGCCCATAGAGACCAAATTTAGATTTGTAGCACACAACTGATGGGCTACAGAGCTGTCTGCCTTGCTTTAATGTGGGCAAATTGGCAAGCAATTATTATTCATCCATTGAAAATTTAAGGGTAGAACAGTCCATAACCTCATCAGCACAACAGAAAATACCTGCTCCTAGCAGCCATGATTCAGTGCAGCTGTCTGAAAAGCAGCCATCAAGGGTTTAACCTTCAATTTAATCTTTCAAATTGCCACTTAGTCTCTCTATGTGAAAAGACTCACATAATATGTCTGGTCTCAAGAGGGACAGGAATGAAGGAACCCCTAGCCAAAATAACAGACATAATTATCTCAAACAAATAATAGGTAATCATCATCAATTTTCTGCAGGCTCACAAATTATGTTATGTCACTGCAATAAATAACTTTGAGCAAAAGCTTTGACGTTAAGGGACAAAATGCGCCATGCATCTTCATTAAAGTCACGGAGGGAAATAGGAATATCTATAAATGTGCCACTCTATAACTTGCTGTTGGTATCTCAATTCCCATGTTAGTGTATCAAACTTATAACTATAAACCACAGTTACACAGAATGTGGGTAAACTGAATGGTTAATCAGCTATATTTATGGTCTTCCACGCAGTTAACTCTAAAGTTCCCTAAAACTAATACTTGCACTGGTCATAAAATTCCTAAATAAACTCGATCCAATCCTAGAAAGCCATACACGTATACTACATGTATGTCATTTTGTCCTCTTGTGAAATTATAAAATATAGAGAAGAGGGCTACGTGTAAAACTTTAATGGTGCCTAGATTGAAAATGTGTTAGCTGTGACAGTGTGATGCATGTTGGCAAGTTTTACAAGATTTCTTAACTTATCTACGGCAAAATGTTGTATACTTACTCTAGTTTTACTAGATGGCTGGATATATCTCCAAAATGCAGGGAATGATGCCAAGTTGATCTGACTGAGGGGTACTATTACTTCCCCTATCACATCATCTCTACTAAATCTATCGAAGTCAATAACCTGTAGCATTAGTAGCTTGCTCTCTACCTTGTTGTATGGGAAACCTAGAAAAAAGAAAAAATATTTTCGTCAAATAAAATGAAGTGCAACAAATATAGGCATCAAAATAATTTGATTAAATTTTGGATTTCAATACTCTTGAAAGCAGACTCTTAGCTGAAAAACAATACTACCATACCATCAAGGTATCACTGTGATAGGTTTAAGCTTATTAGCATCAGTTACAATGTGATTGTAGAAAGTGGTCCATCAACTTGTCTAATTTTTTTCATAGCCTTTCCCTTGAGAGCTTATTTAGATGTGTTTCTGTAACCAGGCTTATACATACTATTATTTGATACAATGATATTGACATGCCATCTCACCACCAGAGAACTCACATTGAACTTTTTTTTTACATGTTTTAGATCCCATTCCTATACCTAGATCAATCTTGCAGGATCAGTCCATCTCAGAGGAGAATCTCGCTAAATTGCACTCAGCTTTAGTGGTTTAGATGTCTGGCACACCTACTGAAGCTGTTAAACAATACGTAATTACCCATAACTGCTTCAGTAGGCGAGCCAAATAAGATGAGTGCAATTTTGCCAGATTTCCCTCGAAGATGGACTGATCCAGCTAGATTGATCTAGGTATGGGAATGGGGTCTTATATAATGAAATGAAACATAAAACAACCAAAGTTAGAAAAACTGTTGTTAGTCCTTAGCTGAACTTAGAACATTGAGTACAGTCCTCACATAATGTTTTTAGCCAAGTAAGTATGACCCATTTCAGCAGAATTTCCAAATAGAACAGGCAAACCACAAGAAACCACCCATATGTGACTTATCTAAATTACAAAATAATTATGCAGGACAACAGCAAGATTAGATTTGCTTCCTGTGGTCAGCTAACTGCAGTTAGACAGTCCACTGAGATGGGTCAAATTAGGAATGGATGATCTAACTTGAGCAAAAACACAATTTAAGGTCCAATAGACATAACCATCAATTCCTTATTTCCTCACCAATACATTGTACTAGTGTTCATAAGAAGTACCATTCTTCTGTAGTAAGAAAACAAAGTTAGTCTGTAAATATCTTCAAATGACAGTTTATTTTTCTTTGTAGCTTCAGTTATGTGATTGCTTTTTACATTATACTTTTTTAGAGATGCTTAAAGCTCTTTGAAGTAGCATAGGAAGAACAGATTTTTTACAGTCTTCTACTAATGTTAAAGTATTCCAGTGACTTTCCTTTTAGCTTTATAGTAAAGCTCTCAGGAGACAGACACTACACTGTTCTATGCATAGTAAGAATACATTTTCATGTATACATTTCACTTCAGTCTGATCTCAGAGAAAATTTATACCATTTTTATGATACAGTGGGATGAACATGTGGTTGCATGTAGATTTCTGTATTTGTCCCCAAGAGATGATATATTCCCTGTATGGCTGTCCATGCCTGCCAAAGCAAAAATCTTCTTAAATGATGTGCAAAGAGAAATCTTTTGAGGTAAGACATATAAGCTGATAATTAAAGAAATGCACCAAATAATTGTTCAGACTGTGGTGATTCTTCTAAAATTGCATTGCAAGAAACCATAGATAACTCGGATTATATCTGAACTTGCAACTCATTCAATCAACTGAGCAAAAAATCTAATTTACCCTTCAATCTTTTTCTTGCACTGAAACACGATAAGCCAAATTCCAAAAGCAACCATTTGTCTTGAATGCAACAAATTTACCATTTAGCAGTGAGACAAGGGTAACTTAATTTGACTTCCATTTACTATTCAGAATCAATATACAGTATGTTTAAGTTCTTCCATAATGAATCTTAGTTCTTGACGTCATAGTTAGCATGCACAATCCACCTTAGCGTGCAGTTAAGAAAGAAAAGGGGGAAATTATTAAAATAACAGAAATAATGTAACACGGAAATGTACTTCCAAAAGTCCAATTAAACACAGAGATTACAAGAAGTGTCCTACAGGTGAAGAGAAAAATACCATTTTCATTTTCTGGATTTTTTAACACATGGGCAGCTATTAAAATGATAAATATATATGACTACTGAAAGCACAACTCAAGGATATCAGGTAATTCTCTAAAATGACATCCTTCTGATTTTATAGGCTTCTTTGTGAGTTTACTCCATATGACAATGGACTATGCTTCAAAAGCTGATAACTCAAACAATTTTGGTGACAATCCCTGCTACACAACTATGGTCCACAAATAGTCCACGAAGGTTGTAAAAACAGCAGAAAACATTAATAGTCAGTACAGAACTTAAAGAAATTACTTGTTATCTCTCTCATGATCAGATGGGTGATTTTATACAGCCTTAGATATGTATTTGATAGTTATAAACATACAAACACCTCAAAAGCACGAGTTTAACCTGCATTTTCTACCCTCTATTTTCTACCCCCCTTCCCTTAAAACATATATTTGTCATTACAATGCTTTTTCAGACATCATTATCTGTCACTTTCTACATCAGTCACACCACACACTGTCACATACACCCTTAAATACTGTAATAACATTCATCTTCATGTACCACTTCCTTAACAAGTCTCACTCTAGCAATTTGACATGAACATGTATTTCCCGATGGTTTAAAATAAAAGAATACTGAACAACTTGTATTGGTATTTTTTGTGTTTCATTGAATCCTCTTGGGTGTCACACATACTTATTTCCTGAAAAGTACAATTTTGTGTTAGAGGTAGGCGTGGGTTTTTGGAAGGAACTGGGGTAGTTTTATCATGGTTTTCACTACATGTATTGAAGTTATTGATCCCTATAGTGAGATAATGTGTAAGAGATAATGTCCAGGGAAAATTAACTACATATGACTATGCTTATGACTGTGTGTATAGGATATGCAGTAGTGTTGTTATATGCAACAGTGTACAAAAAGTATTTCAGTGTATGTTAAATATTTTAGAAAATGACAATGAGTAAAGTGTCATTTTATTTCATAACATATGCTGTGTAGGACAAAGATGCAGAACGAGGTGGTACGGCAGTGGGAATTCGCCTTTTCAGTTAATTTAATCATATATTTGCTCTTAAATTTCTTTTCAAAAAATGTCCACAAAATGAATTTTCTTATTCCATGTCACTATGCTTTTTCAGTAACTTAATTGTTGGTCAGTTAAACCAATTAACTGCATTTTTGACAGAAGATAGAAAATAATATGCATACTTTTTAAGCGATGTAGCTTTCTTTGGATTTGACAGAAAATCTCACCATCTCATGGAGACAGATCTAAACTTTCCATTATCAGTAGGATTAACCAGGGTGATAAAAATGGATTTTCTTTATCTGATTTCCAAGCCAGCAGTTATAGTTTGTGTGATAGGATTCTCCAGTGTATGGAGCCCTTACATCAACAATTCTCAAGGGGAATCAAACTCTGTTTCCTAGGACATTTGTTTTTACATGCAGCGGACATGGTGACTATAAGCAGTCATGCAACAGTCACACATTAATCAGACGATCATGACAGAATTTTCTCGCAGAAGTTGAATTTGTACAAACTGAACGAAGGCTGACATGCCATGCTGAAAAATTCACAGGAAATATCATTTCACTGAAAATAGTACTTAACACCTGTATGGCTTAAAGATCCTACAATTTAAAGGTCAAGCTCTCTCCCTCCTGGAAATAAAGATTCAGGGAAAAAAAGGAACAAATAAGTTATCCTTTAACCTGTACATTTCTTCCCCTTTCACTATTAGTATTTCATCATCTCACATGTCAATAAGCTTGGGTTAAACTATGCATAGTGAAAATGGTTAAGCTCTAAATCACTTGGAAAATTTGCCCCTTCTATATGTGATCCTATATTGGAAAGTCAAATGTGTCAGATAAGGCTGGATCAATAATGAGACTGGAAAAATACATTCTCCACACGAAAAAAGGGGAGAGACAATGCCAAATCCGATTTGGGATTCCTGGAAAAATAAATAAAAACATTGATTTCAGACTTCAGAAAGGAGTTTACCCACCTACAGGAACAGTGTGATGCTGGGTTCAATGCAATTACTGGCTTGATCTCCAGTAAGCTAGAGATAGCTTTGTCCTTGCAATAATTTCACTCCTGGGTATAGCCTGCCATTTACTATATACACAAGCAGCATGATCTTAACTACACAACAAGACTGAAGTGCTAAGTTGTGTGCGTACTGAGTGGACTCACTCCATTAACACTTCAGGTCCTTTACTAATGTGCTAAGTGTAAAAGCCCCACTACATTGCTGGTCAGCTCAGTTTCATAATAACCAAAGAAACCAAGAAACTAACTATAGCTAATAAGGTCCTTTAATACTGGGTGTCACTAAAAGTTTATATGTTATTCTGAGAACACCTTGGAAGTGACAGCAGTGAACATCCAGCAGTAACTTAATTCCAACACTTTGTCTCACACTCAATTCTAACAGTGTAATTTTGTTGGAGTTACCCTTCTGTTAGGTGTTCTTTGTAAATGTTTTTGATATGATAATATGATATTGACTGTGTTGGAATAGCTTGTTACATGTTGGTGTACCTATGGCATTAGGCATGGCAGTGTTACAGGCATAACGAGACAGCATGCACAGTTCCTACTTTAAAGTGATCAGTGCTTCTGTTGATATTTTTAAACCTTAATTTCCATGATATCCAAATTTTACTTGATTACAACCAGTCACACAATGCTAAGAAATAACAAGGTGCATGAACTTAATTTCATGTGTCTGGAATTGTCAGTAATAACATTGTCAAAATAGACTTGGGTAGCTTTTTATTTATTAACTGCTAACAAAGATTTCTATAATCCAACAAAAATTGAATAAATAAATAAATAAATAAACTGAGAGAGTTTGACAATATGATGTTATAATATTCATAATAAAATACCTTGGGCTTACAATCACTCAAATGAAATTGATCTAGGTATACCTTCAGGGGTGTCTATTCTGCAGACAAAGATCTTATTATTCCAGATATGCATAAAAATGAACCAAAATCAGACAACAAGGGAAATCAATCTAACACTTACCTTCAAAGCAGAATATCTCATTCCAGTGTGGGTTGAGAGACCGTTTCCTAATTTTGGTTTGCAATTTGTGTTTTTTGTCAGGCAGCAGGACCACTTTGACATAGGGGTCACTAGTCCCCGTGAAGTCCTTAGCTGGCAAGTCTGTGGCTCGCATTACTTTCACTATCAAAGTGTTCTCATTGAAATCATAGCCGATGCTAAATTGTATGCGGCCCAGTTTGTGATCCTCATCTGGATCGTCCAGAAAGTTTCTGGAGCTGCTGGCCTGTAGAGCACCTTGGTGCTCCAGGCTGCTGCCACGTGAAAAGTTGCCATTCCCACCTTGCTGCATGCTGAACTGGCGCTGGAAGAGAGATGCACTGTATGAGTAGTAAACTTCATTTCCTACAGAGTACTGAAAAATACAAATTCAGCTGAATATGTTTCAGTTACCTGAGACCAGACAAAGTTCGACTGAAAGTTGTTATCGATTTTAAATGTTTAGCACATCCTATTTAAAATCTTTCTTTGAAAAAAAAAAAAATTTATATATATATATATATAACCAAAGTACACTACACTTTTCAAAAATAGGCCATTTCTGTTTCTATTAAAAATGGACCTCTGCAAATTTCATAAAACATGATGAACGGCTATTACCTGCATTGGACAAACTATTACCTGTATCTGTCCCCTGTTTTTACTGTACCCTACTGAGTCATTGACATTGTTAGGTGCCTGAGGGTCTGGCTGGACATTTTCTATTGTCATCTGCTTATCAGCTGGCTTCTCAAACCTTGAATGACAAATGTAAGGAAGTTTTAATAACTGTAAAGAAAAGCATAACCTGTACAATAACAAAAAAATGGAAAACAATGTTCTTTTATTGCTAATTTTGAAAGCAATGCAACCAACATTACCTGTATAAACTCATCCTGAAGTATTTGCTTTCTACCTTGTTTATGGAATAAAGAGGACATGAAGAGACCTTCGCCCTTCCCAATCTCAATGCAGTGAGTGAGTGAGAAAACAGCAATTAATTAACAGAATTCTGTTCTATATGGAAGTTAGGAACAATGCATTTTTCCCCTGAGTAATGTCTTTATTGGTTTTTGGCACAGGTGACTAATTAATGAGGTGCAGAAAGGGAGAAAAAGTACCATTGAAATCAATCAATGTTAGGTAATATCTCATTTTTGTTCTACTACCTAGATTAAATGACTAGGCATAAACCATCAATAAGTTAAAAGTATTTCAAAAATAGACTGCTCCTTCAGTAAAAAATGGTCAGTAAGAGCACAAGGTTATATGTCATAAAGTGCACAAGTAGGAACAATTCTTTAAAAATAATTATCACTGTCACAGTTATAAAAAGTTATAAACTGAAATCAACAATCTTAATAAGCAATTTTTCAGTCCCAAATTTCAAACAACTTTATCTTTTCCCATTATACTAATTAACAAAACAATTTAAAGATTAAAAATCAAATTTACAAATACATATGCAGTGAATCCATTCAGTGCTGAAAAAAAAAAGATATTAAATGTAGACATTGCTCATATTTCCATGAAAAATATCCTCCTACATAATCCTTCTGTTCATTATTACCATGGCTACTATGGGGTGGGACAGATTACAGACAGATTATACACTGGGTTCCCAAGTGTGACACAGTTTTAAATCCCAAGTTTATCAAAATGGCAGTCTGGTACCACAAACAGATTAAAAAGTCGAAAGACCAGAGCGACTGAAAGCACCTTATAACACCACAAGTAATCTGAGTCTTTAATCTACCAATACCATGAATGTAAAAAAGAAAATTAAATATTCCATCCCAGTAAAAATAGAAATGATCAAACTGAGCTACAATGCATTAAACATTACACATTGCCTCAAACTTTGACCATAATTCAACATAAAACACAACATCCAGGAGATTAAAACAATATGTCCAAGGCATATGATTAATTTCTCCATGATTTAACAGTTCCAATTATTTCAGGTTGGCAGAATGGACAATTCATTCCCCTGGTTGCCAATTCTTTTGGTGAAGAAAACCACTCCCCAAATCTGTGTAGAATTCAGTTCTCTAAAATCTAGGCTCACTCAAGCAAATATAAATTTCAGCAAAAGCCTAACATAAGGTACTATGACTATACAAAATCAGAAATAATCCAAAAATTTTGTCCAATTAATTCCAGCGTAGGCTCAAAATTTAGATGTGTGTAATGAAATTTGTGCTTAAGTGAGCCTAAAACATCGAAAAAAAATATTATTCATGTCACTCTTTAATCAGTATCCACACCCAGGTATTCTTCATTTCAGACATAGCCAATCCCAAAAACCCCACACAAGCACCATTTTCAAAAGAGAAAGATAAAATTAATCAAAATACCATGCTTGATCAACAGATCTACCAAAGCCTACTAACTTATTTAGTTGATAAACTTCGTTGCCCAAATTCACTGATCTGTATACTGCAGCATATAACATGGACATCAACTCTCCTGGCCTACCAGATAACATCTTCAAAGCTCCTTTATTTAATCACAGCTGTGTGAGAATTGTCCAACAAACCTCCAGGAAACCTTATCATATTTCTACTGTATTTCATCAGCATCCCAACAAAAGGGATTAAGGGGTATTTTTGGCCATTCAGTCTCCAGAGAACATATTGAATGTGATTTGTTGCAACTTTTCAAAGTAAAGATTAGTACAATGAAGCTGCTAGCATATGTACTGGGTACATTTTTCTACCACCTATAAAAGGAGAGAAGCATGACGTCATTTTTATTTCATACTTCTTGTATATTTAATTACACAGTTATTCTGAGAATAATACTATTTTGGAAAGAGCCAAATTTCAATGAAAATCAAGCAGCTGTAACAAGACATCTATTTCTTTTTCCCAGAATCAAAAAGTAAAAAATAAAAGTAAGCTTGGGCATGATGTTACTTTCCAGGGTTAAAACGGGCCTTTGCTTCTCCCCTTTTTGCTGTAGAATGAGCATTCAACCTATGTTAATTAATAAAAGCCTCACAAAAATTATTAAGACTGGTAGCAACTTAAATTCAAACACATGGCATGGGCACCATGACTTCTGCACCTTTACCAAATGACCATCTCTCAAGTAATATCAGAGAATGCCAAGATGATGAAGTCTTCCATTGTGCCACCAGGTGTCTTCCTTGTGTAGGCCTAAGCAATGTGCTTCAATAGTTGCAGTCATGATAAACCAGGACAGCATCATTAAAAAAGTAATAAAAAACAAATCTTGGCAATCTGTTCTGTCTCCCTTCCTCCAAATTAAATATTTATTTCTTAAGTATTCCATTCAGCAGCAAAATGTATGTTTTCTTCTTGTTAATAATGGACTTTGGCCATTAATTTTTCTTTTATTCTTCTCTAAATCTGCCAAGCTTGAAAAACTGCCATTGAAAAAACATTAGTTGTATTCAATTTACTATACTGCCTTACATGCCAGGGTCCTCAAATTAACAAATGCACCAATTGGTAATTTGTAAAATGTGGCAGCAAAGCTGTCAAATATACAGACATAAAGCAAAAAGAAAAAGAAAAACATTGATTGTGCATAAAATACATTCCCCCCCCCCCTATTTTGATTTAATATCACATAATGTTTAAAAGCATAACCACCACCAATATTTAATTATGTACTACAGGTAACATGGTCATTCAAAAAATGTAACTAGGGCTCCAGGTCCATTGGATCTAAAGGTCGCACACTGAAAATGCCAATATGTGAAAAATGAAAATTTCACAAAAAATTGTACAATTTCAAGATAAATAATACAACTAGGCTAGTTTTCTAATTCAAGCTGTATTTGAGTCTTGAAAATCAATCAAGTAAGTTTGAGGATAATAAGTCATGGTTATACATCCATTTATTGTAATTACTGCAAAATGTACACAGCAACGATGATGGCAACAGGCACAGGTGATGGCCATATGTATAGGCATGCTTTACATAAGGGCATTTTAGTCTACTTCTTCACCTTCTCTGCAAGAAAAGATGCACAACAAACATCTTAACCATTGTCATTATTCACCACTTAAAAAAAAACAACCATAATCCCAAAGAGAGAGAAAAAAAGACCCAATTTTTTTTTCAATACTGCAAATGATCTAAGCAGAACAAACAAGCTAAGATATAAAACCATATTATACATGTATGTGTGCAATTTTAAACCATCTTGATGGATTCCCCTGGCCAAGGAGGAGATCCAGTAAAGCCACTTTCTAGTCTATCCTAATGTGCAAGTGCACCTACGTGTGTATGTGTGGGCCAGATACAAAATGATTCATTAATTGACACAGGGGGTGAAGCTGGGCAAAGGACATTAACCAGCAATAACAGTGGGAGAGGATTTTATTTTTCTAAATAAGTTGACTTTTTACTGCAAAATGAGAAATGGCAGAGAACCTAGATCAAATTTTGATTCAGAGCAGACCGTTCCATGGCCAGCAGGGCTATTCTTTCTAACCTCCTATAGGTCCACTAAAATATATTTTCTGGCACCAGTCTGACTTATGATAAGTCAACATAAGTATTCAACTGTCTATTAGTCAAAAACAGTAATAGGCTTATAGGTATATAGTCAATAAAGGCATACATTTTAGGCAAAGGACAGACTTTTTTTTTACAGAGACTGAAGTTAATGAAGTTAAGCTTATTTCTGGATCCACTCCTTTGACCATCACATCTCCATAACATGAATGATAATGATACATACCACACAGTGATGTGACACCGCCCTTCTGGGACACTGTAGATATAAACCAATGCCTTGTTTCTTTATACCATGGCATGAATTTTGGTGACTATAGACAGTTTTATAACAATTGAATAAATCAACATCACACAAAGTGCATTGAAAATGACCTTAAAAAGCAGTAACACTGGATATGAATACAACTGGTGATGTGGACAATTGAAATAACAGAATGCTCTGACATCCTACTTCATTTCTATAACAAAAGGTTATTCTCTGGCAAATATATGTATCTGTGCTGGTGAATCTATGTGCAAAGCTTTTAGTTTGTAACTTAGATTTTGTAGACATGCATGTGAACTAATGACAACAAAAAAGGCTGCAAAATAGTTTTAAGAGAGAAATAGGCAAAATGTTAACCATATGCATGGAAACCTTGTGCAACCATTCTAGATAGGATGGTTACTAATGTGTTAATCTAGGTGTACTTAATACATCCTAATGTTTCTTTATGATACTTCACCTATTTACTTTTCATCACAAGCACAGTGAAGCAAGAAGCAGTTACAAAGTCAATATTTTAAGTAGATCTGATTTAACAGGACAATCTGCTTCATCTAGTTGTTACAAAACCATCTGGAAGGCATCAAAGCCACAGCTCACTCTACAACATACACAAAAAGGCCTCCAAAACAATAACTCATGGTGAATATTGATTGCAAGTGGAATCCCATAAGTTAATGACACCCTTAGAAATGCAAAAATCTATAATCCTCCGATAGGTTTTCCCAACAAAAAGCACATTTCAACTAATGAATGCAGCTTGTTTTCTGAGATTATTGTATGAGGAAATATTGCCTATGTTCAAATCAAAGAAAACACTTGTTATCCATTCAATACAGCTCAATCCACTCGTTTGTGTCTAAACTACAAATTGTTTCCCCAGGGCTGTTCCTCACACAATAAAACTGATCTATTTACTTTGCGTGGGTAATGGCCATCTGAGTAACCCAACTCATTTCCCCACTGAAATGGTCTCTTGTTATTCATATAGCCCCCCTCCCCCGAAAAAAAAAAAAGCTATACTTACTTTATTGTGCTTCTCATTATCACCGGACTTTTTCCAAACAAAAATCTTTCTTTCCATGACAGTTTTTTTGGTTTTGCAGGCATGGTTCCTCCTGCTTCCATTTCCTTGGGTTCTATGGGCTCATATTCTTCCTCATCTCCACGCCCAAAACACCAGGCACACAGCATCACCAGAAATGCCACACAAGCTAGCGACGCCACGGCTGTGCTGACAGCAACAACTGTCATCTTGTCCTCCATCCCTGCAAAGTACGCCAACACAATATATTAACATGAATAACTAGAAGCTGCCATGCTGGTTGATTTTGAACATAATGGTACCTTTGATGTTGATAACCTGGAAATAATTTTTCTTTAATATAAAACAAAATGAAAAAGTAAATTCATAAAAAGCCAATCATAATGAAATGAATCACAAATTTCATCGCATCAAAATGCCTTTTTTATATTTTCCACAGAATAAAAGGCTGCCTATGGAGAATATTTCCAATATTCAGTCATATTTAGTCTATAGTGGGCCTCCTACCAGCAGATAATTGTTTTCCTATTCTAGGAGACCTCTATTAGCATTTTAGATGGGGTTTGAATGCAGACATACTTATTATTATTATTGCTCAGAGTATTCAGTATTCAAAACAAGACAATAAACACAATTTTATGTCATCAATATTCTTATCATTAGGCTAAGAGTAAAACAAAATTACTACTAGGTCCAAGCTGCTCAAAGAATCAACAGTGCATGAACAGTATTGGTAACCTGAACATCAAATCTTCAAATGTACATTATTATTGAACTCTGATCATTCACTGGTATGTTTGGAGTTTTCCAGGCTGTTCAGAAATATACATCTAGCTATCCATATTTCAAAGTTCCACAGAAGGACGTGATATTAGGAATTAATAGATCAGTGGTTGAGGTGGTTTACCTAAATCAAAATCCCCTTCAACAGGCCAGTAGACAGGGGGGTTTGGGAGGGGACTGAACATTCCGCTCTTTTGGCCGGGAAAAGCCTGGGCAATATTTGATCTAGGTGCACAAATGTTTCATGGCTAAAGGTACACTTAAACAGACCCCCCCCCTGAAATTGCAGCTATGGGCCTGCCTTCAAATTCAGACATGACAAGCAGAAAATTTGAAAATGAAATAGCTTGCATGTGTAAATTCTGAAGCTCTGGCTCTCACAGTTGCACAGAAGATCAACCATCAGGCCTACCCAACTACCAGACTCGGCACCGAATGATCCTGAATTCACCGATAGATCAGACCACACTACCCGTTTTCAAGGTGTGAATCAGTACGCATTACACAGTATCTGGGGTAGCGCTAGCACTCGCCAATTTAGCCAAATGCTAAAACTGACTTAATTTGGCTAAACAAAAAGGAATTGATTTGGCAAATTTAAGTCAAATTAAAGCTATTTTCATAAGAAATTGACAAAAAAGTGATGATTTGGCTAAGCGAAAAAAATTGCTAGCGCTACCCCAGAGTATCAAACCCTGAACAAATTTTGAGTGGTGATGCAATGCTTTTCAACCCCGCTGAGAATCGTCACTATCACATCGCATACTAGGCAAGAGCAGTGTCGCGTCTAATACTGTGAAATGCGTACTGATACACACCTTGAAAACGGGTAGTGTGGTCTGATTTACCGGTGAATTCAGGATCATTCGGTGCCGAGTCTGGTAGTTCGGTAGGCCTGAACCATGCAGATTTAGTATTGGCCCATTGATGGTAGAGGATGGATTGGTGTCAGGCCAATGCTGGTGAAGGATGGTGCAGCATGCTGTATTGGAGATTATCTTTAGGGCACATTCCAAAGGAAACTATCAGTCTAAATAGATTGATCCAACTCTGTTGGGACTTTTACTAAATACAATCAGTTTAACAGACAAATACACCTCTTGTTTCCATCATACTCTTATAAGCACCCATTTTTCTGTATTTTACTCAACACCAGGAAGCCTGGTAACTGCCAAGTTTGCAATTAGATAATGGCTTATCATCATCAAGTACTCATTAACTCACAATAATGAAGGGTCTATTGTAAAAAAAAGTGGTGATAATTATGACAATCAAATTACATTTGACTGATATAAAACATCATATACACATGTAGTGTTCTTTTTCACTCCTGGTACAATAATGGGTTCTTTTTCTCTCCAAAGGATGCATTAAATGAATGCTGCAATAGCGGGTTGCTTCCCCACAATGTTTTTTCCCCTTAACTATGCTTCTCAAGGTACTTCACCTAATTCTAGGGTTGCATGCAGCCAACACAAAGAATTGTGTTGGAGGATAGCATGCAACCAACATAAAAACTTGGCAAAATTTTTTTCCATTTATGTAATGTTCTTGAGTGTACCTCAATATATACTTATGTATGTATTTCAGCTTTGCTTAAATTTATTTCATAGAAGAGATCTAGAGTAAATACCCTGTTCTTATTCTCTTATTGTATATGCTATACCTAGGCATGCTCAAGTCATGGTACTGAAAAAATCTATAAAATGCATACATTTCCTGATGCCAGCTGTTTATCTACTAAATAAGTCTTGAATCTAAGACAAATATCATACATAGCCTCATTTGATTTTCCTATACACTAAGCTTTCACGACTGTAACCAACAATTTGGGTTTTTTTTTTTTATTTCTGATAATAGACCTTTTTATTCCCTTACTTGACCCAACTTGGGAAATGGAACAGAAAACAGTTCAAATTTTGATTCAGAGGGGATCTTTTTCAGCCATAGGGATGGTTCTTTCAATCTGTCCTAAACCCCCTGCCTATGAGTCTGTGCTTTAGACCATTTCTCTATGTTTACACATGTTAACAAAGAGATTTAAGATGAAGACACAAAAGGCTGTCGCACAAAGAACCTTTTTTATCTCTTCACTTTTAGAGTTTTGGAAATAATATCAACATAGCACCCAATTTACTGCTTTGTGAATACTAGTAATTTGTCAAGCCAACAGAGTGCCAGAGTGTGTTGCCTGGATGAAAAGAGATAAATAGCCCATGGTCACATGCAAGTCACTGAAACACATGCTAAGAAGTTGTAAATATTTCCAATTGTATAGGTTTTTCTACTGGAATGATCAGTGAAGATATCATTCCAGACAGTTCCAGACTGCATTAGGCATACACAATGAAACATTGTCCAAAAACTAGGACATAGATAATGACTACAGAAAATTTCTTTTAAAAATGACATTCACTGACGTAACAGGGATGTGCTTTTAAGAAAGGGATATATACAGAACATTAGGGGCAGCTCAATTTTGTGTTTTGTTTCAAGTCTTCAATAATTGCATAATGCACAGTAGTAATATGTAAATGGAAATTTCCTCAATTCAACAAGAAGATGTTCTAAGTGCCTGTCACACAAAGGATTTTAAATAAATGATGATGGTTCCTGGACTCGAATAAAATTCATGCCATCCAGAATGTAACCAGAGAGTTCACACCTAAGGACTTGCATAACCACATACATTAACCAACAGCATAAGTTGATACATATTGTTCAAAATTTATGCCATACAATATTTTTACTTTCATAATGGATTTCCTACTGTGATTAATGAACAGGTTTAAAAAATCAGTAAAGACAATTCACTTGGGATATTCCTTTCTGGTAGGGATGTATGACTGCTTTAATGGACATATAAAACAACTAGTGTTTGTAGGCATTTGCTGACAAATCAATATGTCCTAAAACTAAATGGTGACCTTATATCTGCTCACTTTCAATAATGAGATAGCCTCCAAACAATACTGGGAATTGCCTGTATTAAGTTAGTTGACAGCATGGCACTGGGAACTGGGTCCTAAAACTAAATGGTGACCTTATATCTGCTCACTTTCAATAATGAGATAGCCTCCAAACAATACTGGGAATTGCCTGTATTAAGTTAGTTGACAGCATGGCACTGGGAACTGTTTGTACTCTAGCAGTCATATACCAATGCTGGAAACTACTTCTAAGAGTTCCTTGCGTTGTAATATTGGGGACTGCCCATAAAATGGGTAAAATGGCCATATATACAAGCATATACTTGGACAAGACAGAAGAATATATCTAGATATATCAAGAATAACATTGGGAATTGCCAACAGAATGGCCAGAATGACTATAGAGAAATGCCCATAAAGCAGCTTATTGATGCATGACAATAATAAAAACTGCCTACAGAACAGGGAACCCAACTATATTGGGAACTGCCTATGAACAGTCACCCAGAAAATGTACCTGTCTATAAAATAACTGTGACAATCAGGACATGGTTATGATACATTTGGCCAAGAATTAAATGTGAAATATTCCATGAGACATCTGTTCACTGTCTTAGGGATCTTATTCTTAATAACAATTTCAGCCTGGGTAAATAAGGAGACTGGAAGGATTTTTTTACATAGCCACTTTTATTATAGGAAACCGAAAAACTGTCCGTATCTTATCCAGTTTTATCTAGATGCAAATCAAGTTCTATCACTATGTCACATCACAGTCCTTGTTATGCCATTTGGAAATGTTGACCTTAATTTGTCTCTGTCAATAACCCCACATATACTAAAATTCATACATTTATTGACACCTAAACATTATGATTGATTTTATCAAAAATCTCCCTCATTACAAAATAATACAAACACCCAACTTTGTTTATTCACAAAGATTGTCAGTTATACTTCAACCATGAAAAATCTCATTTTCCAAAACACAGACAAAAAAATGTGACATCAATTAACAAATTAAAAAACTGATACTTGGCTTGGTTTGAAACTGTCATGATCACTTCCTTACTTATATTGTATAAGTAATCTTTTATTATGGCACATTGATTTTAGTGACTCTGGGTGAGATTAAAATTTGCTTGACATAATCACAAGCTACCTACCCTTATTACAACACAAAAAGATGATTTCAATTCATAAACATTATATTTGAAGTTGTATCAGATACATCCAAACACAATTTAATGCCAAGTTCAGCTGCAATAAAAAGGAAAAGTAATTACAGTAGCTTCCTGAAACGAACAGACAGTGCCTTTTGACAACAGTGCTTTTGCTTTATATCCATATCAATCATTAGACAAGTATGCAATTTGCTGGGATTGGTAGTGCTACAGGTTTAATCCATAAAACATTTCGTTCAATAATTACAGTATTGTCAGGTTTTCGTTCTGTTTGTTATGTGCACACCGTGAGCATCATGGTGATTGGGGGACTGCTGTTGCATGGA